TAATAATTTTATCTTAATAATGATCTTGTCATGATTTTAATGCAAAGATCTGACCCACATGCAGAAAACCAAACAGAGAGACCAGGGGAAGGTTTAACAGGTTTATTGAGAACTGGTAGGGATAAGTCCAGTGAAGCTTTGAACACTGGCGAACCGGGACTGAAAAGTGAAGGGAAATTCCTGTGGTTAGTTCAGGCTCAGTGGGAAATTTTGGCTTCGATTTGCAAAAGGGAATTAAGGAAACAGGACTCACGTTTCCAGAAAAGGAGTCGTTCTCTGAATCCAGTAATTGACTTGCTTGTTGGAGGGCGGACAGGGTTTACCCAGTTCAAGGTGTTTCCTTGAGGAACGGAGGAGCTGACTGCCACTTGGATTTCCTATGGTACTTGAACGGTTTCTTGTGGAGATGAATCCCCTGCTCAGTGTGAAGCTCAAACAATCCTTTGGGGGAAAGTAGATCCAAACCTCCAGTTTGAATCCCCAGCTCAGTTTGAAGCTCAGACGATCCTTCCAGGGGGAGAAGGTCCAAAACATCCAGTTTGCAGGGTGGCTTCCTGCCAAGAGGCAAAGACAAAAACAACAAGGTTAGGCTCAGGTTGACAAAAACTCAGTTTGACTCAGCAAAACTCAGCTTGGCTAGAGTACCCAAAACTGACAAACACTGGCGTCGAGGTAGTGGCAGTCAGCAGCTTAATAGTCCTCCGGTAATGAGGCAACCATCCGCTGGTGTGTGAGAGGGCCAACAAGAACCAGGCGCCACCTGGTGGTGGAGGGAAAACCGACAAAAACACAAATCACAAAAACTGGATTCCTAACAGATCTAATATAAGTCCCTTTTCTCTTTTCTTTCTTTCTATGTTTCCTTTATTCTCCTGCAATCAAAATTTCTTTTACTTCATTCATATGCAGCCCTTTGAATTACCCTGCCACTGAAATTTGGTACAGAAATCACCTGGCCTGGCCTTGTCCTTTCACCAACATGGTTAAGTTTAATTTAGCACCAACCAAATCAAAGTGTAAAAATATTTTGTTTGTTGTATATTTTTGAAAATGATGAGTATGATAGAAATTGTATTGCAAAGCATATTTTCTGAGCACCCTTTCGCCCTGGAGAACCTCAGCCAATCATATTTGTTTGTGTTTCTTTCACACACATTTCTCTGTCTTTCATCATGTGTTGCAGTGGTCAAGTTTTATTACACCTGTATCAAAAACCTCTTCACAATAAGAGGCACGGCCGGTTAAGAAATGTTTCTTAACCTCTTACACCCTAAGGGGGTATAAATAAATTTCTGCCTGACAAAAACACACAGAAGTAAATAACTTATAGCCTCAAAGCTATTAGATTTAAGAAGAAACTTTTGGTACGTCTGTAAAGGTAAGATGTCATAGAATGGTTTTCTGGTGTCAGCACCATTGCAGCTTTGACCCTGCCTGAAATATTAGGGACAAAATACAAAATATTTTGCATTTTTTGAACCTCGCCAAAATTTTCTTTGAAATAAACATTGCAAAACACTACCAAAATATTATTTATAGCACAAAAAAGTAGTACAGACTTTCAAATCTAAATGTTGTGTACAAACATACAAAATGTGGACTCAATCAGATGAATCATATTTATTTTAGAATGGTATTAGTGAGAAATTTCTTAGGCGGAGAGGCCATTTTGGCACATTTATCCATAAATGTCACCAAACTGTGCCAAATATGTTTTTTACATCAATACTGGGGGTTTGGTAAAATTACGAGGTCACGTAGCAGCTGGACCCGCCGGTGGGTCCGTAGGGTTCAAGGGGTTAAGGAATTATTTCAACCCATTTGAGCATCCTGCTCTCTGGACCCTTTTATCCTGCCTCGCTTGTCACATTTAAACTTGCTTTCTATTTCTCATTGTGAAATTATGCTATTTTCATAAAAGATTTGGCAAATGGAGAAAACATTTAGAAGTAAATGTTAATTCAAAAAAATGTAGCTTAATTTCTTGGGTGTTTTACTTTTCTCTCTATTCCTTCAGAGATAGAAAGATCCCACATGAAGTCCCATCCACTGCACTGCAGCACAGCAGTGCAATTGTGATAGCTTATAGATCCCGGTGGCAGCTCTGTTTCAGGTGAAAGAATCGGGGTAGTTTTGTATTGTTTGGTTCAATTATGAAAAAACTTTAAACTTAAGCATCGACAAGTAGCTGGTTGATATGCAAAGAAGACAATAAATATTTTCCAACATTTCAAAATGTTGATGTAGCTTTAAAAATGTACCGCTACATCCATGCAAACAATGGAAATTAGAACAGATCTAAGAATTGTTTTTTATTACATCTAAACGACACATTTCTGTTATTTTCTTGTTAAATCCATTTTAAATAAAATCAATGAATAAAGACCATAAACACATATGGAACTGATATATGCAAATACTACTTATATTTATATGAAAGCCATCCTGTTCACTTACTGCACTTTGCAATTGTCCACTTTATATGGAACTAGACCAATGCCAGCCAACTGTATGGTGTATCTTTTAAAAGATGCATCATCCACGTGTCTCTGTAACTCTCTCCAGCACTTAACAAAGCCATGGCTCCCATGAAATGATGAATAAATAAAGGCCTCAGTTGTGGCATCATAATGCTATTCTTTTGTAAGGCCACCTACTGGAATCCTGCCAAAATGAAGCATTCCTGAGTCATTTCCTTTTCCAGCTTTGTGGGAACCATCTGTTTTCTTTAAATTCATGTTTAATCATTTTAGGAGAAAATAAAAAAAATAAGTCAGCATTCAGACCTTTTTCATGCTCCTTTAATTATGAAAGGGTAAACATGAGATGTTTGGATGCTGTGGTTGTCCTGTGATGTTTGGTCGGTCTTGAACGTGTTGTTCTGTTGGAAAAAACATTTATGTGAATTAACTGAATCAAATTACTCTCATTAACTGATTGGTTACTTTCTGAGTTGAGTTCAAATCATCCCAGGTTGGTAATGTGGGAACCAGCATGCGCTGGTTTGATCCATGAACCTATCTATTCATGCAGTACACACATCCTCCTGAGAGTAGCGCTGTTTCAGCTATTCACATAATACACCTATGAGCTCAGACAGAGAAGATATGATCTGTACATAACACTGTGATTTATGTTATTGCTTTTCCCAGCTGTAATCTGGAAATTTTTCATATTTAAGAGTTTTTTTATTATCTAAAAGTCACCATAAATCATTTTTTAATATTTTCTTTATCTGAAACAACTAATTTCTGGTTGGCAGAACTTTAAAATTATGAGTCTGAAAAGTTCTTCTAATATTTTTCACAAATTTTAGCTGTTAAGGTACTTAAAAGTCTATTAAAACTGTATTATTAGCTCACTTATCATCACTATAACAAAGCTTATAGCCTATTATAAAAGTAACGGAGCAGAAAATGCAGTTAAAGCTCTGTAAACAACTCACCATGTGACCAAAGCAGCTTGTTTTTTTCTGTAAAAGCAAAACTGCTTTTAATATGAACTGAATGATTCGGTGATCAAATCTTTTTAGGGAATCATTTCAATGTGAGGAAGTCAGTTCCCTCAAAAGGACTGCTTTCCTGATCACTAGATTTGCGGTTTCTGATACAATAGGAAAAAAAAGGATACACAAGCAGCAGCACTTACCAGCTGCCTGCAGGTGAGTCCCTGATTGGTAGAATAGTATGAGCACTAATCCTATTCACAACTACAAATTCTGATTTACAAGTACACAATGTATTTGACTGGGGTTTGTGCCCATAGTATAGAGCCAGGAGTGGTGACAGCATGGCAGACTAATGTTAGCGCCCTTCACAGAAGAGTTTCAACAAAAAAAAGACAACTTTCAAACTCTGGATTTTTTTAACCTGGTTGAAGCTCAACACAAACGAGTATATTTTAGTATGATTTCAAGGTTGATGATGGCTTGTAAAGTTATGGAGTGAATTTTATCCCATTATTGTAGCAAACAAATAAAAAAAAAAAATTTTTAAAGGGAATTTTAGAAAACACATTTTTTAAATTGGAATATAAAAATGCGATCCAGTACTGAAATTTTGAAAAAGGTTTTAAGAGTAACATTGATATTTTTTCTGATTTGTTATTCCTTTTTTATTTTTTCATAATTTTCTTCTGTTTTAAAAATGTTCCTTTATTTTAATATTTAAGTATAAGATCTATAAAAACTATTAAGTCAGTGTCAGAACCTCTTTTTTGATTAAAAGTTGCATTTCTAGATTTCTTCTTTTAAATAAATCCTATTTACAAAACATGTTATTTACTTGAGACTATAATGGAACAAAATTCCCTTATTATAATTTTTGACAAGCAGTTTAATTTGAAATCAATGGCTCTGCTCTTCCAGCTTTCGCTGCCTCAGCAAACAGCCCATGACAGACATTCTGAGAGCCTCTTCCTGCTCTCAGCTCCCATCAGGATAAACGGTCCATTTAAAAAAAAAAAAAAAAAAAAACAATAATGTGAGCTGATGTACGAGCACTCTCTGCTCTTGACATTGAACTTTTTTTCCCCATCACATAAAGGAACGCGCTCTGTTTGGGATTTGTCCTGCTCTGTTTGACATCTTCCAGTGTTTACTGGCTTTGTTTTTGTTTGTTAGAGATTTGATGAAGTGGCGTACGTTGGTGTTGTAATTTGGCCACACACGGACTCATTAAAAGGGAAGACTGAATGAAATAAACATGGACATTAACTTAAAGTCTGACACTTAAAGTTATTTTTGTGTGGGGAAACAGTTGATCAACATGAATGAGGGTGGAGGGGTGATGGGGAGTGGGATGGGGGGGTTGAAAGATGACTGGGCTCCACAATGCTCCCTGTCCCGGTACTTGTGTATGTGTGGGTGTCTGTGTAGGATAGCAGGCAGTGCCTCTCAGTAAAGGGGGGAGAGGGGGGCCCAGTCTGTTACCAAAGGGAGGTGGAGACTGCTCTCCCACCCAGTCATAGTGTCTTACTGGAGCTCTGACACACACACACACACACACACACACCTCCATGCACAGTGTTGCTGCAAACTCTCCACAGGAAACTCTGAGCCATAATGCGAAGGCACCTCAGAGCAGACGGGTGCATTGCTCAAACCTAGTGGGATACGGCGCAGCTTTGATAGCGCGTTAATTACTCATGTGATGTGATACAGATGTCTGGGGGGCTTCAGCTGAAAGTTTGCCTGACGGTTTCCAAGGGGGCCAGGCAGGCGTTTTAGAAGCGGTAGGTGAAAACCAAACGTATTTATTATTTATGCATAGATCAGTTTGCGTGCTGTCACAGATCCCAGCAGTGTCATGCTGATGCTAAACTATGATGCTACTTGAAGGGCTGGCTGCTAAATAGTTCTTTGTGTACTTGGTGACAGCAGGGACTTTGAAACAGGAAGAACTGTGGGCTTTAAGGCTTTCCTGCACAGTGGCATGATGAAATGGGCTTTCCAACCAAGACTTTGAAACTTCATCAAGTCTTTCCTCACAGCTCTGTGTAACCAACTGATTTTCAGGAAAAGTTGTTGATTTTTTTTTTTTCTGCACAAAGCGATTAATCCTGGAGGAAACTTATTGTCTCTTAACTGCACATTTTAAAGCTGTTAAAATTAGAAACAGAAGGAGGATGTGGAGCTGTGGAAATTATGTTAAAGCCAGTGCGAAGGACATCTGTCCAAAACACAGCACATGGATCTATAAATGTAATAAGTGAATGCTTTTCCATGTAGATGTGATTAAGAACAAAAGCTCAAGATTTCTGATGATGCCTTCTATTTAATGTCAAACTATAACCTGAGGATGCATCTCCCATCTGTGGGCCCCTTTCTGAGGTCTTAAAGACATTAAACTTCCTGACAGCTTCAGATTGAGGGATTTATGCTTCAAATGTCTTCTTAAGCTTACATCTTCATTGCCTTGTAATCTTCTCAGATGTAAAGTTAAAAGTTTTTATGTGATAGACTCACAGAAAGAAGTGCACAAAATAAAAATCTAATAAGGATTGCATTTCTGTTCAGGACAATTAATCAAATCCAGAAATTGAGAATGCAGCTGTTCCCTGAAGGCATCAGAGGAGAACATTAGTGAACAAACAAAATCAGAAAGACCATAAACGCCAGGTTTTAACATCTGAAGGATCTCTAATCCATAAATGCAAGGAGCAGACTTTAGGTGGATATGACGGGCTGTGCATGAAGCGAAGAAACCAAGAGAGAGGGGTTAACTCTGGATCCACAACTAATAGCTCTGTTCTTTACACATCTGGCCTTCATAGAGGAGTAGAAGGAACAAAAAGAACGGAATCTAAAGAAGTGCAGCCATATTTAAGGCTAATGGATGGAACATGGAAGAAAGGAAGACGGACATTGGATGATCATTTCCAGTCATCTATGACCCAAACAGCCGGTTAAATACATCAAAGGATGTCCGGCTCTAGATAGGGGCCACCGGGGCCAGTGCCCCAGTATAGCTGGTCCTGACGTTGTTACGTCCCCTGAACTAAAGGCATAATATTAAATGAATGTCTTATGATTATATGCATGGGAACAGTAACTATAACTGATTTATCTTCTGGATCTATTTGCTCTTTACTGCTTTATTTCAACAATGATTAAAAACTGAAGATGTTTTACTTTTAGCCTCAGTCATTTTGAGACAGGATCACAGTTCTAGGAATGCACTGGTTCTGCTCCAAAGATAAGTGCATTTTTTCTTGAATCTAGAAGGGAAGTGAGACACTTTGCTTATGGAACAAGACAATTTACATTTAAAATAAGAAGACAATTGCATTGTCCATATTTACTATATTTTAGTTGATATATTTACCTTATCAAATTAAGGGTAAATACACTTAATTTAAGAAATTTTCACTTAATTCTAGATAATTTTTCCATTGTACTAAATCATTTTCTCATGATGATACATGCTGACTGAAGCAGCTGTCAGTGATTCCTTTCTCTGACTAATTTATATTTTATCTTTATGAATTACATTTACAATTACGAAGAAATTACAGTCTCCTTTAAGCTTCAGCCGTACTAAGATACAATCTCAGTTCTTATCTGTTAAATTTTTTTTTTTTATGCGTTATTATAAATGTTTTGTTTTGTGACCCCTTGAAAAAAACCCTGGCCCCAGATTGGCCCCACTTGTAAATTAGATCTAGAACAGCCACTGAATCCACTTGTTCTGAAATCTAAGCAGTTTTTCTCTTTTCTTCTCTTTCCAGCTGTGAAAAACGGAGGCAGCCTTCCAGCGATCAAATAAAAGTGCTCAATAATGGGGACCACAGCTCAGCTGCTCATGCTAATGGCCTGTTTGGCAGCCAGAGGAATGTGCCAGATAAAGGAGGCCGAGGACCCTCTGCATGCCGTCCTGGTCCACTCCACCCTGCAGTCGGTTGGTTTCCACAGCACCGTCAGTCCCACAGGAACCGCTCTCCCTCCGTTCGTCTCAGGAGCCCGGGCTCAAGCTTTGGAATCCGGCTCTGCTAACGCCACGGTCCTGAAGCAGCCGGTGCGACCCCCAAAGTGCCTTGTGAACCCCTCAATTAGCAACTATTTTAAGTACATCAACACTGTCATTTCTATTATCGTCTTTGTGGTGGGCCTGGTGGGAAACGCCACCCTGCTGAGGATTATTTACCAACATAAGTGTATGAGGAACGGCCCCAACGCCCTCATCGCCAGCCTCGCCCTGGGTGACCTTATCTACATCTTCATTGACATACCGATCAACGTGTACAAGGTACAGCCGCCCCCCTTTCTGAGTGTTTATCCATGGTTGTAACTTTATTTTCATAGCCAAGCTGCTGAGTGACGCCTCACACGCTGCTGATATGATGCAAAGCAGCAACAATGGAGGAGACATGGTCAGATAAACTAGGAATATTAGAGACAGGAAAGGGGGGCGGGTTTAAGGGAGTGTAGGAGAAGACGGGAAAGTGTAATCAGTCTGGGAGGGGGTTATCTGTCTTATGGGGTAAGATAAGTTGATGAGAGGGGCCCGGATATGACGGCTTTAAATAAACACACAAGTCAGGCTGGAGTCAAGCACGCCACTGATGTTTCACTGAACTTTATTCCTTTGTTCTTCGTTTACAAAATACTTATGTTCACCCTTTACAGATTTTGCTCTTATGCAACACTTAAGCCAAATCAGAGAATTCAGAAAAAAAGGCCTGCTTTAAAATCACTTCATTTATTAAGAGAAAGAAAATAGTTAATCCAAACCAACCGAACCCGAAGTGTAATTTAAAACACAAATTCACTGTGATGAGCCAAAATCTTTGGGTTCCAGTATTTTAAACCAGGGTTTCTTAACCCTCTTCCTCAGGACCTGCTGTCCTACATGTTTTAGGTGTTTCCCTGCCACCACACACCTTCAAAATCATGTTTTGAATCATGTTTGTCACCAAAATATTGTGATGATCTCAAAGACCTTTTAGGAAATAATTTGTGCATCAAGCAGACAACAGTGAAAGTGACTGCGGGTATGGCTGCCACATGATTCTGTGAAGGAGGAAATGCACTCATTTGAATCAGGTGTTCTTGAGTAGACACACATCTAAAACATGAAGGACAGTGGGCCCTGAGGACCATCGTTAAGAATCCCTGATTTAAACCACATCGGTTCAAGGTGACAGCCTGTCCCACGGAAGATGACAAAACTAACCCAAGTTCTCACAGTACCTGTCCGTTCACAAACATTGGGGAATCCATGTAGTCCCCATCCTGATTCAACCGGACAGCCAATCACATTGCAGCATGGCGGTCTAAGGTGGGACATACGGTCGAAAAGTCAAACCAAAACAAACACAGCAGCAAAGGAGGAAGCATGCAAAGCTACTGCACATCTGATTGTAAGAATCCACAATTTCATGTTTGAAAGAGAAACAACCTATAAAGGAGTGTAAAAGCCTTAGTTGTTTCTCTGGTTGGCAGGTTTGAGGGAAACTTTGCTATTTTCTCATGTTTTTTATTTTTTATTTTTTTGCAGATTTTATATTTTTAAGGGACTTTTTTATTCCTGTTTTAAATTTTGAGTTTTAAAAATTGCATTCTTTTCAGAGAAAAGCAAACCCCAGAAATAAAGAGAATGCGATTAGGGAAACATGATTTGGAAAGGAAATTGGTTCGTAAAACTTAATCTGAAAAGCAAAGATCTGACAAAAAAAAAAAAGGTATAACTGAAAATGTAAGATTTGTTAAAAAAAAAAGAGCTAATTGAAAGAGTGACATTTAAAAAAGTGAATTAGAAAAAAACAAATTTACAAAATTTGCTCCTTAGCTGCAACAATACTGGAACAAAACTTACTCCATACAACTGTCAATGTCAGTATGCAACTTTAAGAAAAAGACAAAGAAGCTGCCCAGAAAAAGCTGAATCATGTTTGCCAACAAAATATTGTGATGATCTCAAAGACTTTTTAGGAAATAATTTGTGCATCAAGCAGACAACAGTGAAAGTGACTGCGGGTATGGTATTGATGGACCCTTCACGTTTTAAAACCCTCCACGGTGGCTGCATTAGAGGAGTTCCCCAAAGAGCAGATGGAACACAGTTATTAGGTTTAGGGGCTGCTTAAAGGAATAGCTTATTTCACTTAATACATTTGATTATTAGATAAAAGCTTTTTTTATATTTACTGCAGTTATCTTTGTCAGACCTACTTTTTTGATGCTCTTAAAAATGTAGTTGATCGTCGTATAAAATAGGAGAAATAAAGAAATCTGTTACTGGATAAATATTTTTCCATGTCTCTGTGTTTACGACTGATTAAAGGAACAAAATAAATCATGTGGCTGTTTCCTTAGTGAAAAGCAATTACCAACCAGAGCTTCAGTCATTTGAAAGCATAGATCTGATTGCCTTATGGGGATTTGCATGAGAGTAGCACATTATTTTTAGCTTTTAATTCAGAGAGATTTCTGGTGGTTTCAAGTGACTCAAAGCTCTATTGTTTACTTCTACGACCACTTGAAAAAACGAAGCTTTGCGTGACTTATGCGCTAAACAGTTGCAGACCCCTTTTGCCCTAACTTGATTTATGCCGGTAAACACTGTCAAGCTTTGTGTAATAATAAAGAACGACGGCAGAATTGAGAGATCAGTCATGCTGGTCTCCCTGCAGCCACATTAAAGGAACGTCGCTTTGCACAGAGAAATGTCAGGAAAGCCACCTGGTTGAAATTAACTCGGGACTCTGAGGGCACAGCGACTTTGTTGTTGGAGCAACACATGTGCAAAGAGGAAACAAAAAAAATCTTATGGGGGGAGCAGTCTGTGCAAAAACAAAGAGGAAGCTGCGTCCACAAGGTTGCAACCCTCCGGCCCCTTCTTCCATTGAGGGAGGACGCCGTTTCCTAAAACACTATTCCTTTGTTTTCCATGGGGAAGGGGGTAAGCACCTCTAAAGAACAAAGGTGCATTTTCCATAAAAATGTCCTTGATAAAAACCTAAACTTCAGGCACACTGGGACAGAACTCAGATGTCTGTTTTTGACCATAGAGGTGAGTTTGGTCACAGTGAAAGCTTGTCAATAAAACATCATCATATAAATGAGAGGCATTTATCTTTTCCCCATTAAGCAACGCAAGTTTACTTATAAAACACGTTTCAATAGTGAAACAATTCAAAGTGATCTACATAATAGGGAAACACACAGGTTACAAGATATTAAATTAAAATATGAGAGGAAAATGATTGATGGTAAAATTAAAAAAAGTTGGACCGAAAACTTAGGCGGCTCATTCAAAGGCAGCTCTGTTTGAAAAAGGTTTTTAAACTTGATTTAAAGCAGCTGAAGATTTGACAGTGTCTATGAGTTTATTCCAGATGAGCGGAGCAGATTATCAGAGAACTAAAAGTTGCTTCTCCATGTTTTGTTCTGGCTCGCATACAGTAGACCTAAGAAGTCTGGCTGTTGATCCACTGCCAACCAGTCTGTAATGTATTTTGGAGCTAAGCCATTCAGTGATTTCTAGACTAACAGAAGGATTTTAAAGTCTATTCTCTGAGCTACAGGGAGCCCGAGGAAGGACTTTAGAACTGGGCTCATGTTCTCCCCTTTCTTAGTTCTAGTGAGGACGCAGGCAGTAGCATTTTGGATTAGCTGCAGCTACTGATCCACTTTTTAGACAGGCTTTTGAAGACACCACTGCAGGGATCAATTCTTTTTTTTGTCTTTTTATGGCACTAGGGGATCATTCATTTGGAAAGTAGGCTGACAGGAAAGGGGGTATGAGAGAGGGGGAGAGACATGCGGCAAAGGATCATAGGCTGGATTCAAACCGTGGTTGCCCACATCGAGGACTAAGGCCTCCATACATGGGTCATGTGCGCTAACCACTGTACCACCAAAGCATGCCTCTACTAAAGAGGAACTAAACAGGAATTAGTCCCGGAGTCCTTTAAATCCTGGAGATGTTCTTTAGGTGATAGAAGGCCCACTTTGTTCCTGTCTATATGAGCCTCTGAAGGTTCAGGTCTGAGTCCATCACTACAACCAGATTAGAGCCTGATTGCTGCTTTCTAGCTGGATTAACTGAAGCTGAGTACAAACATTTCATGCTATTTCTTTGGTCCAAAACTATTACTTTGGTTCAGTTCTTTAAAAGTTCTTTAATCTATGCTTTGATTTGTTCTCTGCATTCACCCAGAGCTGGAATGAGTTCATATAGTCACTTGGAGACATGGTAATGAACAAAAAAGTGGGCAAAAAAAATTGTGGATGGATAAAAACATTTGTATAAACATCGTAATCCTTCCAAAATAAACTCTGAATTCTCAAATTTTCCCTCAATATTTTCCAAATCTTCTTGTTCTAAAAAACCTACAGTGTAACAGAATATAGTTATACATTACTGAAAAGAAATGAATAATTTTTATTGTGACTGCTGCATATCTAGGAAACTTCTTTGTGATGGATAGCGTGTCCCCACTTTAGACTAAGAACATTCCAGAATCGCTCTTCTTCCCAGCTGATAGTGTAGTATATCTAACCTGATCCCAAGATTCTCAAAACTTCTGTTGCGTTATCAGTATAAATATAACCGACTGGCAGCACTGGAGGTGGTTTAACAACTATGCACCAACATAAATTCAGATGCAAGGACCCAACATTACCTTTGCTACATGTGACGCTATGCAGATGCTCTGTCTGTAATAATGAAGATCGACTGAACTAGATGCTGATGAATTCATTGCAGCAGAGTTACGTCAAGGTTCCGGCTGCTTTAGCTGATGGATGGGGGGGGGGACTCATGGGCTTCCTGTCCATTTTTGAGACATGACGCCATGGCAACCCTAACTCCTCACACAGCAGCATGTGACGTGTTCTGACACTTTGAAAAAAAAGTTTTTTATTTTGTTAAGTGTGGAAAAATATTTAATAATATCCTGTCCTGCCTGTGAAGATCAAGTATTTATTTGATGCAGATCTTTTTTTTTGGTTCTTTGTTTGCATTGTTTGAATGATGAATCTTTCTGCAGCTCCTGGCGTCCCGTTTCCCCTTCGATGACCACTGGTTCGGCCTGTGCCTGTGCAAGCTGGTGCCTTTCCTGCAGAAGGCCTCCGTTGGCATCACAGTGCTGAACTTGTGTGCCCTCAGTGTGGACAGGTCAGTGCTGTCAGATGACACACTCATGGAGAAGCTGAACTTTACTCTCAGGAAATCTGTTTAAAATGCAAGGTAGTGAAAAAAGGAGGAAATAAAAACATTAAAAATGTTATTGTGGAATTATTAGATTGTTTGTTGCAATTAGTTCAAACAAAGACAGCAACTTTACAATTAGTGTGGGAGGACTGATTACTCCTCCCAGCAGTTTGTTCTCAGGCTCATACAGAGAGTACGGTCTGATTCCACTCATATCCTCTATTCACATTATGAACTATACTACCTTCTGGCAAATGGTGTAAAGTGGCCATTTGCCAACCTAACAGATATAAATTTCCATTCACCCCTACCTCCATCAGATTAATAAACAGAGTAGGCATTTAGTATAAAGACGTTTGAAGGTTTCATGATGATATATTTTGCTGTGTTGGTTGGAATATCTGGGGTCTGGTTTATGTTTATATTTATATTGTGTAGCATATGTTTTGTTTTCTACATTTACATTATTGTAATATATTATATGTGTATTTGATGTTTATTTATTGTATTTCTTTTTTAGCACATGTGGTCCAAGACAAATTTCCCCATCAAAGTACATTCCAGAATGTGGAAATTATGTAGTGTCAAAGTACATTGACTCTATTAGAGTTATTAAAACAACAACTGGAGTAAAATATACACTATGTAGAGAGTTGATTTTAACACTATTTCAGTGGGACCACATAGTTAATGCAATCTTAAAGTGGTACTTTAACACTGCAAAATATAGCCTAAACCAATCTTATCAGATATAATTTGTAACCAGGATTTTATGACCCAATTTGAAAATATGCAGAAAAATTATAGCAGATTTTTTTTTTTTTTTTTTTTTTAACTGACAGGTGACCAAAGCTAGAAATTAATTAATCGATATTTTTGCTTTAGGTTTAATTAGCTTAATCCGTATTTATTTAAAGGACCACAGCGATAACATTCCTTCACAACAACAGAATTACTAGATAATCAGTTTCAGGGAGGTATTTTACTCAGTATGGATTTGTTCTGTTGGATGTCACAAGATCCCTTTCTTCTTTTACATCCTGTGTTTTTTAAACTGTTTAAAAAAAAAAAACTCCAAAACTTTGGGCACAGATCTGTTAAAAGAAAAAATGCTGCTCTGGAGACCTGGCTCCAGTTTGGGAAGAGATGCACAGATGGGGAAACTGATTACTGTTCCAAACAAAAAACTCAAGCTAGATTTTAGAAAATTTCAGGGGTCTGTTTCAAGAAACAGGTTTAAAGGAAACTTTAAGTTGTCTAAGCCTGAAATCAGAGAAACTCTGACTTTTTGGGTTCACAAAGAGAGTTTCCTCAACCTCTGTTTCATTTACTGTTGTAACATTCTCCCCAGAGTTAACTTGGTCTGTAGCAGGTTTTCTTCAGTAAACTTCAAGTGTCCTCTGTCTCTGCTCTCCTTACAGCCAATCACGCTGTTTTATTTTCTGATGTAGTCCAATTTTTGTCATAGTTTTGTGCATAATATATATATATATATATATATATATATATATATATATATATATATATATATATATATATATATTTATATATTTATGTAAATATACATATATATATATGTATATATACATTTATATATATATATATACATTTATATATGTATACATATATATATATATATATACATACATATATATATATATATATATATATATATATATATATATATATATATATATATATATATATATATATATATATATATATATATATATATATATATATAATATATCATTCACTAGATATGTCACACACATTAGGTTTTAAAAGCAAAACTTGGATGTCTTTTTGACGAGTATCTTATTAAGGAATGATCGGCACATTTTCACAGAGAAGTTAATATTTTATTGGGAGAGGATTCTACATATCAGTTGACAGGGCATGAGAATATTTGTTTTTGGTTTGTTTAATATGAGCGCGTTGTGGATCATAAATTTTATTTAGTTATATTTACTGAAATTATTTTCAGATTACACATAAATAGATTCATTAATTCTGCTGGGGAAAAGGAATTATTCTAGGGTTAGGATTAGGATTTACTGGATGAAAACAACCTAATGGGCCTACTAGCACAATCTGCAGCCATTCTATGGGCCTGATAGCTGCTAATATCGACCATTTATTGGGATAACATCTGAAGCACGGCTGCAAACAGCCACTTAGTATTTACTATGTTAAAGAAGATCAACATGAGGAGGGACCCATGAGATGATCCACAGGTTCCATATATAGGAACAATGTTTTTATTCTTCATTTTCACCTGCTGCCGGAAGATTTCACCTAAATCGATACATTGATCTACTGGTACTACCATTCAAGAAAGGATTCTTTAATATCATCTCGTTCACAACAGGCTGGCCAAACATTTTAATATGTATTAATTTTACTGAATATGTATGCCTGATATTTGAAAAAAAAAACTTTTTTCTATGTCTAAATGACCTTTTGAAACAAAATAACATTCTCCACATCTAGAAAAAAACATTCTAGATGTCTATAAATTAATTTCAGATCTCCATATTCCTAATATTTCTGGTCAGCATTTGTATTATTTTAACTATGAAAACATGTTTTTCAGAAACGATAGATACATATTCAGTCAAGCTGATGAATGTCAGATTGGCAACTTAAAATGTGTAAACATTTCTAGATATATAAAAATTAATTATTACGGGCATAATTTTTTTTTTTTGCACTTTTCAAAATTAGGTTTCTGCTAAAAACAATGTAATCTAGAAACTATATTATTAGAGTTCAGACTAGGAGTGTGATTTTGATCAGGAAGAATCTTATTTCAGTGATCTACCAATGGAACAACAGAGAGGAGAGTGCTTTTATTAAATGTAAAAGTGGCCTGCCATAGCCCACTTCATATAAACGTAAGACACATTAACTCGAACAACAATTTTCTCCTCTGCCATCATCCTCTCCTTTAGCTGTAGCGCTGTTTCTCTGTCTTTAAAACACATTCTCATACACATAGCCTGACTTAATAATTAGGTGTAAGGCTCCCATAAATTGTACATTAAGTCATATCTGGAAGTATCAGAGTACAGGAATTATAGATAATGAATTATAACTAAGCAAGTCTTTGGTTTTTTACACTAAATAGAAGGTGTTTCTGAAAATTGTAGTTAACATGCTCGCTTCATGTTAGCCTGCTGTCAATTATGACCCCTAAAAACAAGATGTCAACAACTCTTTTTTATCTCTTCAATGGCCTCCTTTTTGTTTTTAAAATTATGTATTAGGATTTTACGATATGATGATATAAATATAAAAATAAAACATGTTTTAAGTTAGTTTATTTCCTTTGTTATTAAAACAACTCAGGAGTAATTGCACGTTTGTGATACACGTGATACAAAATATAAATCCTTAGTTAGATATATCACCCCTGGAGGTTGCCATTTTATAGCTGTGCAATGCATGCTTGGTCTTACTGAGTCTGAAGCCTGAGTTCCTTTAAATCAAGACTAAAAACACATTTGTTTAGGATTGCCTTCGACTTTTCTAGTTAAAAAGTTCAACCGAAACATCATTAGTTAATTTTTCTTTCTTTAGTCCAACTGCTTTTAATGTTCTTTCTTGTTTCTGCATCTTTTTTATTATTTATTCTTTTATTTTTTTCTTCTACTTGCTCTGATTGTGTTTTATTTTCCTATGTAAAGCATTTCGCATTGTCTTTTTACTGAATTGTGCTATACAAATACATTTGCCTTGCCTTGCCTTACTGGACTGAAACCTAGAGAGTAAACACAGGAAGGCTGACATTAGCAGAGAAGATTTTTATCGTATTACATTTGAATTTTGTTTTGGCTGGACGGAGCTAGCGCTACAGGACCTAGCACTACAGGACCTAGCATATGCCATTTAACCAGTAGGTCTTGCAGTGTAAACAGCATGGAGAAGTCCATGTGACATTATATGTATTTTTTATTTTTTTGTTCTTGAGGGAAAAAAAATTACAGTATTTTTACTATTATATTTAAATCTAAGAAAATCATTCTCAAATGTAGTCTGTTGCAACTAATAGTGGATCACTTTAATACCAAAAGTGTATTTAAATTTACAATCTCTCAATAACTTTTTGTTGAACTTTGGGGAAATCAATTTTTATTTTATTTTTTTTTTCTTTAGATAGATATATCTGAAATTACAGGTCCGATCTCACTGCTTTAAATGTGATAAAACATTTTTCAGACATCTATACAAACAGGGCTAAGGGTTATGGAGGCCATTGTGTAGTTTGTTCATGTGTATAGTCACTGGAACGGTTAGCTAGGATGCTAATGAGTTAAATGGTGCCTTAAAAGAACATTGCAATGAATAAATGATGGCCCAGAAGAGGTGAAGTTCATCGTCATGTCACTTAATGCACCACCATCTTTAAAAAGACTCCAAGGTTCAACAAGCCAGATGGGTTTAATGACCTCCATTATGAGAAAGACCAATAAGCTGTTTGGTTGCTTCAGAAGCACATCTTCTCTCTTTGTTCCTGGAAATATGAAGCAAATTTGTTTGAATACATATTAGGAGCTATTTCAGTCCCTCTGCATCATTTTACTGCTACAACAATAGGGAAAGGTGGATACAAGACCTCTTGGTAAAATATAGATGCCGCCATGTTGTTCAACAGGGAAATTCAAATGTATCATGAAAAATATATTGTTTTGCCATAAAATCTTGATGCTCGGTTTTACTAAAACATTTCGACAAGTTGTTTTCCATTAATGAAACAAACAAGCAAACTATTTATTTAGTGCGCAGCAAACAGAAGCCAACATGCAGAGATCTGCCAACATGGGCCAGCCAGTTTGGCGGCTTCACGAAAATATAAATATTTGATATTGAAAATAAACAATTGATCATCTCTCCTCATGAATTCTTCCCATTCTGCTGATCGTCTGCTGACTGAGCAGTTTGTGGTGTTTGGGACGCTGGCAGGCAGAGAGTCTCTTTGTCACTGCTGTTTAATGATGAATCCATGACTGAAAACAAAGCAAGAGCCAAGCACAGATGTGAAAAGTGGGGTCTTACAAATAAAATTGACATAGAAATCAAGGTTATGTGGATTCTTTCAGGCATATTCACATATTTCAGATTTAAATATACATGTGTGCCATCTGAATAGATAAAATCAGGTAATGCTGACTGGTATCTGTGGATCCGTTTGCCTCACAGGTACCGAGCTGTGGCTTCCTGGAGCCGAGTGCAGGGGGTGGGCATCCCTTTGCTCACCGTCATCGAGATCGTGTCCATCTGGGTGCTGTCTCTGATCCTGGCAGTGCCTGAGGCTGTCTGCTTCGACATGGTCTCCTTCAACTACAGTAACAACACCATGCGCACCTGCATGCTCAACCCGACCAACAGCTTCATGGTGGTAAATTCTCCCATTTCTTCCCTCCGTCCAGTTTTCAGTCCAGTTGCAGTTCATCAGGTATAAAGCAGAACTTCAACTGGCCAAAACTGCAAATGGTAGATCATATGTTTTAATTTTATATTATATGGGATTGTTTCTGCTATCTCCAAATACTAAAAAGGAAAAAAAGAATGAAAATAACGAAAGTTCAAAACGTCCTTTAACCCCTTGAGCAGGATCCAGTGGGGACTTCAACAATTCTGCTAGAGAAAACAATAACTTAATTATGCATATGGCATATCCAATTAATGAGGAAAGGCTTCTCTAAATGATGGAGACACTTTCTACCCCTAAGTAACTAAATATAATCAGTTTTTAAAGCTAAATGTAGATTTTATAGCTGAGTACAGACACTCTATGTTGATAGATAAGTGGGGAAAAAAGAACGGAGGAAAAAAATCCAAAGAAACTTAAAAGTGGCACCTTTTGTAGTGTTGGGAATATTGCTTTAAGAATGTAAATAGTTAAAGTTACTGGTTTCTTCTCAAACATGGGTTTAGTTACCCGGTTACTGCTCGATCTAAGTAGCTTGTTACTAGTTAATAACTATGACTTTTTATCATCTAACAGGTTGAAGAATTTAACTTTCCTCATACTTTAAATAAAACTAGAAGTTAATTTATGAAATATAAAACATTTGTTTGTAAATCAATGACTTAAATAAGAAATTATCATCTTAAGGCACATTACAGAGAAACACCAATATTGTTTCTAGAGTGGGCTGGAGCACGTCCAGTTAGTCACAGTAAAAGCTGGGCCCATAGCTAGGGCAAGGAGAGAGACAGGACAAAACACTGAAAAACCGGCCCAACTCTATGAGCGATAATCAAAGTGTTGGTGGCAGCAGCACAGCTGATACTTCTCTCAGGATAGAGTCACAGCCAGCATGAACAGAGCAGATGAAGGTACTATGAGAAAAAGCAGAGGGAGCATAAAGTTAAAGGTTGAACTAACAAATACTGCGGAATGGGAGAATAGAGATAGAATGAAGCAGAATGTCATTATCAGTATCTCTATTGTGATAAAAAGAAATGGTAAGCATAAAATTGAAATCAGTATATCACTGAAAAAGTCCAAATCAGAGATAATGAATTGAACTATTCGTGTAGGTTCAGGTTAATGATAAGTTTAATTTAAAGGTTTTTCTCTGAGTAGGATGGCCCATTTAGAGACAAACTATAATTTACATCCTGCTGGGCACAGCTCTCTGCTTTAATGAAACACATTAACTAGAAACGGTTTGAAGCGTTAAAACAACCTTAAGTCACAGATGGGTCCACTGAGGCAGCTGAGTGTCTGCTCTCAGGAGGAAACCAAAATAGACCCTTTAAATAGTTTTTTTATAGACCACTTTAGGTCTCAGCTCCTTTAGCGTAAATGTAAAGAAGGAAAAAAAAAACCTTCTGCAGGAGCCTCAAGTGCAGGCTGCAGTAAACCACGTTTCAGCCTCACTATATGTTTAAAGACTGAAATAACTGGCCTCTGGTAAAGATAGAAGGAGACTCAAACTTCTCTAGTTCAATCTAATCATATAACTCCTTTCACAGATATCAGAACTATAAACTGTTTTACAGAAATAAAAAACAATATAAGCACAATATATGTTTACAGGCTATTTTAAAGCCCGTTTATTCAAACATTGAATCTTAAAGAATCAATAAAGTGAGTTCCAGAGGGTTTAGGGGCCACCGTCTGGAAGCGCATGAGTTTAAAGTAATTCTGTGAAAATACCAGCAACCTCTGATCAGCAGGTCTTAGAGTCAGAGGGAGCAGTATGGCATCATTAGGATCAGCACTTTAAGATGTATGGTATTTTGTACAGTGAGTCAGAGCAGAGAGGCCAGAACAGAGGTGGTGTGCTCTCTTCTATTGGTCCTTGTGAGGAGTCTTTCTGCTACGCTCTGAACTGTCTGACGGCTGATTTAAAGCTGATTTACTGACACAAATAAAAAGACCTTCAAAATAGTCCAACTGAGACGAGAGAAAAGCAAAAACACCTGTTTGTAATCCATGATACGACACCCAGGATCTCAGCTTTGAAGTGTTTTCTCATATGATAAAAAACTGTTTTATAATTAGAATTATGCTCAAAGGATAAGAAACTATAAAAAATTGAGGTCAAAGTTTGGTAGAGAGGTTTGGAAAAAAGCTCCCAGAGGAAAAAATCCATCCATCCATCCATCCATCCATGTTCTGTCACGCTTATCCCAAGCGGGGTCACCAGGGGTGCTGGTGCTCATCTCCAGCTGTGCAACGGCAAGAGGCGGGGTCCACCCTGGACAGATCACCAGTTCATCGCAGGGCAACACAGAGACAAACAACCATTCACACACACTCACACCTAAGGAGAGTTTAGAGTTTTTGGACTGTGGGAGAGAACCCACGCATGCTCAGGAAGAACATGCAAACTCCATCCAGAAAGACCCCTGGCCGGGAATGGAACCCAGAACCCTCTTGCTGCAAGGCAGCAGTGCAAAAAACAGTGCCACTAAGCAGCCCGAGCAAAAACATGTGGCCTCATAACAGAAATTTAGTTTTAAGGTGATGTAATCAGGGTTGCTGTTTTGGTCTCATGTAGTTGTAAATAGTTGGTTGATTTCTGTCAGACAGTGGCTGAGGTCAGATTATTTATTCTAAAAGCTGGTTCACATGGTAAGATAGACATGGCAGTTTGCCAGATCTTCCCCTTCAACAGCCTCTGATATCAGGAGCCCCTCCAGAGCAGAGAAACTCCTGCCCTGTGTGGCATCATCAGAAGGATCGAGTCTGCGCTTTGCCTGATGTTGTGCTGTTTGTGGTGTCCACCGAGCCAAGCGCATTCAAACCAGATGCTGGAGTTTGAAATGTTGAACTTTTGCAGCCCTGCACTGTGTGTCAACAAATCCTAGAAGATGATCTGGGAGCTGGCTGGGAGCCAGAGCATCCAAACCGGGATTTATCCTCTTTAAAACAATTCAAAGTAGCATTACTGCATAAAGGGGGTCAGACTAGATTTACATGGAAAGCCAGGAATTTTTTTTGTTTGTTGGTTTATTTTTTAAACAAAGAAAAGTGAGAATGCTCTGGTTGCTCTTTTAAAATATTTTGTTACTGGATTGTGGTCTAAAATGTCAAAACATGCCAGCCAAAAATATTTTATTTTATATTCTACTGGCAGTTTTTTTTACTACCTTAAAAACCCTTTATATTCACTTCCAGCTGCTACAAACTAACCTTGCACTGCAAGCTGGATTGTCACGAGATCTGAGTCTCACAACAAATCCACTAATATGACTAATATGTCCGTCTCGTAACGTCCATCGGGCTGAACCAATGAAATGCCAACAGTATTTTTTGGGGCGGGACATGTAGAAATGACCTTGGCGGGGCATAACAAACATGGCTACGCTGGAGGACGCAGCTGTCCATACCGCAAACAACTCAATTTTAGCTAGAATAGCAATTATTTCTCATTTCGAAAATGAGCTAAAAGAAGCACTTTTTGCATTTTAGATGGGAAAGATGTCTGTGCTTTTCTTCTGACAGGATTTGGAAAAAGTTTTGACTTATCAGCTTCATCCACTAGTTGTGAAAACACTCAAGAAGCTGCAGATGATTCACTGCTACGATTGGATGAAAGCGTATTATGGAAGATGGGTACTAGTTGTCACGTCACCCAATCAGCTCGAAGTATTTTACTTAACATCCCTCCTTTTCACAGACAGACTGAGTAGCAGCCATCCCAGATTGATAACTCAGAAGTCAACTCAGTTCTACACATACAGTATCAATCTGTCTACTGCCAGGAAATCCCCAGCTGACTGGCCAGCTTAGGGAACTATCATAAGGGATTCCCAGTGCGACAGTTTGCTGGGTATGCTGCTCAAAACAGCTACAGAATATTCAAAGGTTGGATCATAATCCTGGTAAACTTACTACAAAGATAACCCTTCTTTCTCATCCTAGCATATAAACTAAAGCCACTCTCTCTATTGCATCTGCCACTTAACACGGAGATGATCTGTTGACTCTTTGCTCGATGCACGTTTTGTGTCAAAATCGGCTTGTAGGATGTGCTGTGTCTTTGCAAATCACCTAAATCAGCTTAAAAGAACTTTAAAGTCGAGTATTGTCAGGTGTTACAACCAAGATGTGGGAGTTTTGTAGGAGAGCTGCTGCCAGCTGGATAGAGTTTGGATAGATTCTAAGAATAGATTGGTTGTTTTTTCCAACCAATGTAGTTGGTTAAAACAATTTTAGTTAGAACAAACAATGTAATGATCAAAATCAGAGCAAGCAGCTGAATACAGTTGTAACGTTAGTGTTAAGTAGTGTTTTCTCCTTTAACTGGTTGACAATATTATTGGCGTCATATCTCTCCATAAAGCCCTGCCTTTGACTTATGAAAGTTGTGATTATTCTAATTGTTTTGCCTAATGAAAAATATAGATTGGGTAAAAATGCTGCTAAATTAGGTCGGTTTAGCCAAAAGATTGGTTGAACATAACTTCCAACTCGATTAAAAACAAAAACTGGGGAAAACTATCATGTTTGAATAAAAATTACTAACACCTTTCATTTTACTCATCATTGCACAGTTTGCACACTTTTACTGTCTGCTTGAGTTTATTTCTATAAGATGGCAGAAAAACAGTGCACCTTAAATGATTTTTCCAAGAAATTTTACACTTAAAAAAAAAAAAACCTACAAAAGATTTTATTATACACACCAACCGTTAAAAATTTCAGAGGAACTTAAAATGGGGGGGGGGGGGGGGGGGGGGGGGGGGGAATTAGAAAAACAATTGCACAAAAAAAAAATCACATATTTTATTATAAACTGTAGTTATGCACTTCTCCAGTAGGTGGTGACATGTTCACATGGAGCCTCATGAACTGTGGGGATCGTTGAAGCAATTTGGCCAAATAGTTCAATGCCTCATGAGGCTTCATCTCACCATCACCACTGAATCCCCTGGCTAACCACGAAACAAGGAGAAAACAGTTAAACAAAGATGGCAGAGAACCGCTACCAGCTTCCACTGTGAACAGAAAATGCTTTAGTTAGCAAATTATTCAACTTGAATCACACATTAACACTCAGCTCACAGACAAGATCACTTCAGATCAAGGCCCAGGGAATAAGAAAGAAGAGGCCTGACATCTCAGGTTTGAAGCTCTTTACGGGGCGGCTGACGAGCTTCAACGCATTGCATCTGTAGCAGCCAGGTAGACCTGAAACACAAAGAGAGCTCTCTCACTAAGAGAGCCCCTAGAGGTCAGTAACTGTAAGATCAGCTTACGGACAATAGGAGACATTCTTCAGGATCTGATACTGGGAAAATGTACTGTAAAAAGAGAATAGACACAAGAGTGAAAGCAAATACCAGAATATTCTCAAACTTTTTTTTTCCCTTTAGTCTTTGACCACAGATGGTATTAAAAACAACCCTGTAGGATTAAACATTGTTGTTGACTCTGGAAATGGAAGCGAAACATGACTGAGCTAATGAGCCAGAGAAGCCATTCCTGCATTAAAAGTACTTGAACTTAAAAGCTAACATTTAGCTGAACGCCTTCATCATCTTAAAGACATGAATTATTCCTTCCGAACAGGAGAGTGTTTTTAATGGAAGACTGTCAAGCATCTCCATTATTTTCTGAAGCCTTTTTTAAGTGCATCAATAAAGCACTAAAGAGACTGAGTCCAACATTTTGTGCCTATGCATTAAAGATCATGATCCGTGGTAAATTAAGGAACAGGAATGTAAGAGAGCGGAAACATGCATACATACCTTCATCAGACATTTTGCCACCTTAGTCCATTTTTTTGGACTAAAGCCTCTCCTCAGGTTTGAATGCAGAGGTTTTTCTTTCCTGCTCTCCCTCCTCGGAGCTGTGGCCTCTCCGCATGCCTGATGCAGATAATTGATTGCAGGCCAAGTCCAATTACGACCTTTGGCCCTCAAGTAGCCACATGTGCTCGTCCACACAGACAAACCTGATATAACCTCTGCAGGACATCGATGCAGTCCTCCCCTTTAAGAATCCTGCTCCCCGGTTTTCCAGTTTGATTCAACATTTTAACTTTGTTTTGGTGTTTATTCCCCTACAGGATTTATGGGATGGAAAATTTCAGGCCAAATGATGGATTTATAAGTGGCTCTGTAAAGTAGAGGGCAGATCGTGTGAAAAATTCCTCACCAGGATATCTGGGTTTTGGAATAGCATATTTTTCTTACGTTTTTTGTTTTTTTTTACAACCACAAGCTTTTATTTTACGCTGCATAATTGGAACCAGCTTGATTTTCTACTTATGAGCAGATTTCCCATAAACTTCACTGGCACACCAAGACAACAGCAGCCAGATGGTGTTTGTGGAGGTTTCATTACAAACATGAGACTTCTGCTGTCACCTTGAATAGCTTTCAGTTCTGACTTTTAGGGACATGTAAATACAGTTTCAGATATAAATCATAAATGACTCATGAAGAATGTTGAGTTCAGAAAAGAATACTTTGGATTTCCTAGGAGAATAAACATTTATAAACCTTGAAATACAGAGACCATACATGTGTATTCTCCCTCTAGTTCTACAGAGATGCAAAGGACTGGTGGCTGTTTGGTTTTTACTTTTGTGTCCCACTTACCTGCACCGCCATCTTCTACACTCTGATGACCTGCGAGATGCTAAACCACCGCAACGGCAGCCTTCGTATCGCACTCAGTGAACACCTCAAACAGGTTGGGCGACGCTAAAATTCTTCTACTTATAGATAAGAACGCTTCACCATCTTCATTGTTGAACCTTCTGTTTTCTGTTTGTGTTTTCAGAGAAGGGAGGTGGCCAAAGCCGTCTTCTGCCTTGTCCTGATCTTTGCCCTCTGTTGGTTCCCTTTGCACCTCAGCAGGATTCTCAAGAAGATGGTTTACCGCCAGAATGACAACATGCGCTGTGAGCTTCTCAAGTGAGTTTTTACCACAACAACCCTGCTTGGATCCTTTTTGGATTTTCTCAAACTGACCATGATTGTTGTAGATCTAACTTGCTTTTGTTTAGGATTTCAAAGAGAAACAACCATAAGTAAAAAAAAAAAACACTTTAGTGCCACTTTTCTACACATTTGATACCATTGCACAGAATTTAATCTCCAGTTAAACAATTCAGTGGCAGGAATGTTTTACTCTAACTTCCCACAGTAAAAAAACGGTCCCCAAGTAGCCCAGTCAGTGAAGTGGTGAAGAATGTGGGCAAAACATTTGTGGATGGATGAATATGACCCTGGTATCAGAGCTCTGAGATGTAGTTGTAGGCTGACCTGACAGCAGGTCAGCCTACTTGTCAATCATTTCTATTTGTAATAATTTGACCCTTTCTTGTCATTTACCTTTCATGTCTTCCTTGTCCAGCACAGTACTGAATTACAAACTCTAAAGTACAGTGGTCGAGAGACACAAATGCCAAGTAAATATATGATTTCACAGCAATTGAAAGGATTGGAAACCCAAAGATTGGCAAAAGTACGAAAAAAGACTAACGCAAAAAGATGCACGCAAAGAAAGATTGCTGTAATCACAGAAAATAGAGAGCAGGTACAAAACGAGTAAAAGTTCTGCAAGTAGCAAAAACTGCAACTTAAGAAAAGCGCAAACTAGCACCACATAATGGAAGAGCTCCAGACCTCATATGGGACCAGAACATTGACACTACTGTGTAGTAGTAGTTATGGACCGGAACCTTAGTGAAGAACGGGATGTTATCCAGAGGGTATCGGGAGTAAAGGAAGAGAAGCATGTTTTTGCATCAATCCTGTTTAAACATGAAGCCTCTCTTTGCATCTTATTTATGCTTTTACTAAGGTCTCAAATCAGAGGATGATGGTCTCCCCATAATATAAACTGGGCCTCCCTCATTGACCCAGTTTATAAAATGTATCTGCTAAAAGGTAGATTTTGGGGTGAGTTACACTTTAAGTTAACTTCATTGCCAGCACATCCAATATGGTCAGCTAGGTGGGTGTTTTGATACGCAGTTAGCTTAAAACTAATCAGGTTTCTAATCTGCAGAGACACACAATCCAATATTTCAACATAATAATTCACATAGCATTATAACTTAAAGAAAGAGGAAAAATAATAATTAAAAATTACTTTCCAAAATTAACAAACCTTTCTTTGTGGAAGGAAACGTCTCAATCCCGAAAACATCTTCATTCACCACAAGAGGATTTGTGGTTGAATGTTTTGTCTTCTCTCAGGCTGTTTAGTCCTTAATGGGTCTTAGAGTTAACTCCAGCTGAAACCAGAATACTTGATACCCTGACAGTTTTTGGTTTGTAGAAATATTGCAATTTTCTCTGCATGTTTCTTTTTTGTCTGAAAGCAATTTTCACATTTTTGCACGGAACAGCCAGTGCTTGGAATTCAGTCAGACCAACGATAAAGATTAGGGTGATGGTATGAGGTCTAAGAACCTCTAAAAAATTGGAAGCTCATCAGAAAAAGTAATTGTCAAAACACCAGAGCAACTCTAGATAAAATAATTATTTTAATGTAAACTTGTAGCTATGAGCTTCAATTATTAGAAAACTCTTTAGATAATTTTGTGATAAAAAAAAAATATTCCTTTCCGGTCATGTTATTGGGTTTGAAGCCTGTCTGACTCTCTATGGTTGTTTGCTCAGCGGCGCCATTAGATCAGTTACAAGGTATGAAGTCAGAATTCTGCCAAAAATGTTATAACTACTGATACCAGCAGTTTTTTTTTAAACAGGCATGTCAACTATTCTGTAGGCCCATTTTTAAAGTTCTATATATCCAGATTCAACACCATGAGGCCCCCAGTATGTCATCAACATAATATTATCTTTTTCTTGCCGCTCTTTGGGGTTTTTATGTCTCTGTAGATTCTCTCCTATTCACGTGTGGACCTGTTTCTGTTCCCTCAAGTCACTATTTTGCCACTTAGATGGTGGAACCAACCAGAGAAAGTAAACTGCCTGTGATTGGCCACTTTTAAGAAAATTCCACCTTTTGAGACAGTGCTGTTTTCTTCTTAGTTGTGGCCATTAATGTAGTAACACTGAAAAACTGCCTAACTTTATCATCTATAATCTAAAATGTTGGTGGCAGCAGCATAGCTGATATTTCTCTCCAGGATGGAGTCACAGCCAAACAGGAACAGACCAGATGAAGCTACTATGATAAGAAAAAGCAGAGAGAGCAGAACGTTAGAGATTGAACTAACAAATACTGCAGAATAGGAACATAGAGATTGAATTGAGTAAAATGAAAATGGTCCCTATGTCCTCCAGCAGTCTAAGCCTATAGCAGCATAACTATAGAGATACCTCAGGATAACCTGAGTCACTCTAACTATAAGCTTAACCCAAAAAGGAAAGTTTTAAGCCTAGCCTTAAAAGTAGACAGGTTGTCTGCCTCATGGACTAAGACTGGTAGTTGGTTCCAATCAGGAGATGAAGCAACCTCATGAAACTCTTTAGTGATTTGGTCTTTCTTCACAGTTTATCTTTTCACCTCTTTCAGTTTCCTTTTGGTCTTGGATTACCTGAGCATCAATCTGGCAACAATCAACTCCTGCATAAATCCCATCATTCTTTACTTTGTCAGCAAGAAGTTCAAAAACTGCTTCAAGGTGAGGTTCTCTCTTATTCCACACATGCTTACATTTGATATATAAACCCCCCACATGATGTTTGTTTGAGCTAGCCGGGTCTGTAAATCAAATGGTGAACTCAACCCCCTGTTCATGACTCAGTTGTGATGAAATCCCATGATCCACTATCAAAAGCAGCCTCTTATGTATGCAACTACTTCACTGGCTGAGGTCACTCTGAAAATGTCTGTCAAGGGAGCGTTACCCAAGATAAAACGTTGGCTTGACTTCAGAGGTTAAAGGGCTTTTTGGAGATAAATGAGAGACAAGACAAGATATGGAAAAAGAAACAGTGATAAATACAGACATGCTAAAATTTCTGTTTTCCTCTGTTTTTATGTTCTCCAAGTCGTGTTTGTGTTGCTGGTGTTACTCCGACAACCAGCTGAACAGCATCGGACTCGTGAATGGTACCAGTGTCCAGTGCAAAAGCCCAGAACCCAACAACCTCAACACTGACAAGAGTATCAGGAAGGACAGCAACTGATGGAGATTAAAACCAACAACAACATGAGGCTCATCAATATAAACAGACTCATATTGAAGCTACAGATCCGTCTGGAAGAAAACTAAGTGGAACTGGAATAAAAGAAACCAACCAAGGACTGGGTTTCCTTAATCTCACAGCGGGCCAAGCTTTCTGAGAAAATCCCCCCACACCCCCATACAACCACACACACACGGTTCCCACACCCCCAGATAGTGACATAGTAGCCTGAGAGGAAGGGAAGGGTGAGGAGGATGATGGGGAGTATTCTTTGAAGGGATGCAGCTGAACTCTAAAAATGAATCAGAAGCAGAGCGTGTTTGTTTCTGGAAACACCAGGAAGGATGCAGCGAGAGAAAGGCCCAAGGGCCGGCTGGCTGCAAGGAGACACATCTACAAGCTGTTCCCAGAAGTCTGCTACGCACTGGGATTAATCACCCCACAAGCATGTTACTGACTCCAACCACAATAATTATTAAGACTGAAGGTTCGGCTTTTATTTGACCCATGCTCACTTAGCTGGAACCACACTGTTTGCTTTTTCTGATCCTTCTAGACATTGGCAAAAATAAACAGTGGAGGAGCGAAAATCAGGTTAAACGTGGGCAAAGACCTTTGTTAAATACAGGTAAAGTATTACAAGATTTTGTGGAGTTAAGAATGAACAGTGGTAACAGTTACAAACCTGCTTTTTCAAAGCACTTGTAAGCGCTAGTTAAACGACGTGTGTTATTACTTCTACCATGTCTCGTTTTAGATTGTTTTCGAGATTTTAACTGACAGATATATACAGTTCTATATCCAAATATCAATAAATATGTGAGAAAACTACATGGAACCAAAAAGAGTATGCAGGTGAAAGTTGTTTATTATGAAATTGGCAACATTTCCAGTTTGGATGTGAGAAAATGGATAAAATACTGCAATGGAGCAGTGGGGAAAGGAAGTCAGAAGCATAGAGATCTAACTAACAGGCACCATACAGAGAAATTTAAAAACACTCACCCCATGAGCAAATAGCTACTTATAATTAAAATTGTGAGTCAAGAAACTAGATGACCAACTGCAGGATGACTCCTTTATATTAGCTAGACTTGCTCTGGCTGTGTGAAACAGCAACAGTTCAATTATGGAGACAAATTTGTTCCAACATTACTGAAAGAAAAAAAAACAAGCTTCAAAAATAGATCTAAAAAATGAATTTTAAAAATAGAACTTAAAAATATTCTTAAGTAAAGAAAAAAAGGCCTTGTAGGGTTCTTTTATAATTTGTATGCAAATGTTTAACCACTTTTTTAAAGGTTTGTTATTTTTTCAGCTTTGATTTTCCTAGTTTTCGGTTCTTAAAATAAAAAAAGCTATTTTTTTTTTTTTTTAATATTACTTTTTTTCAAACTTTTTTGATTTAAAGTTTTCAGTTTATTTAGGTTTTAGTTTATAAATTGGTGGGGGGGTTCAACTTTTGCATACATGTTATGAAGGACTGTCAAAAACACTTGAGATTGAATTTTAAGAATTACATTTCTGTAAAAACAGCTAAAATATAAATAGCTAAAAATATTGGTTGAACTTTTGTATACACATAAAGTTTACTCAAAATCTTTTATTTCATTATGAAATTTTTCAAGGTTCAATTTCATAAACACATTTCTTTCAAATTTCCTTTTTCAAATTTCTACATTTCTATGCTTTCAATAGTATTTATAGAAATTTTTTCATCATATTTAAGTTATACTTTTTCCCACCAATTAATCATCAGTTTAGCTGTAGCTTCAACAAAAAGGACACCATTTGTAAGGACACCTGTCCATTTACTAAATGTCCCACCGAGCTAATGTTTGACATTTGGTGGCTCAAAGAGTGGTCTGCAAGAAAAAAATACCTCACACCCTAATGAATTAAAACTTGTCACTTCTGCAGCCAATTATCTGGTTAAAAAGAAAGAGAAAATATTTTTGACAAATGCAAATTAATGCAAAGTGCAAAATAATTTTATTTCATGATGCAAACCACAGACATCATTATGATAGTATCTTAATGATAAAACGATAAAAGTGAAGATAGTATAACTCCTTATTACATCTTTCTCAGGTAGCTGTATAGTGGTGACTCTCATACATTGCTCTCTAAAACTATAAAAAATTAGAAAGGCTTCTTCAGGACAGCAGTTACATAAAAATAATTACATAATAATCTCATTTAATCTTCAAGTGTGCCAATCCCTTGGAAAAAATAAAAAATTAATTCTGACAACTGTCCCATTTTTCTGAGTTTTTAAACCATCATTAATTCCCATTTACTGTTTAGATCAGTGGTTGCCAACCTTTTTTGACTTGTGTACCCCTTATGCCATATTATCATACCAAGAGTTTCCCCCCTTGGTCTAACATGCTATTTTACATAAATAGAATGTACAGCTGATTATAAAAGGAAAAATATTTATTTAATGTCCCTAACTTGGAAATGTATTACTCAAACATGTCATTCTTTTCAATTAGAATAAAAAAATAACAGAAATATGTTGCCTGAAAAGTAAATATGTACTGAAATATTTGCAAAATCAAATTAAGTTACAAAAACCAGAGCTCTTCTGAATAAGTCCCCTATATACACATCCAAAGTTAGCAAGTCAAGAAAAAAAATGAAATAAGATTTAGATTTACTGTCATTTTTACTTTGTGTTCATCGTTCACTGTGTTGATGAAACAGCTGACCTTCTCCTGAATCAGCAGCAAAGGGATGTTTTACACATTTATCCTCGAATGTAGCTTCTTTGGTGCGTTCTTCACTTGTGACCTTTGTCTTTGCCCCCGTCTTCCTGCTTTCACTATTAGAGAAGTAGTGCAGGTGCACAGCAACGATACCCACTCTAGTTTTCAATGAAAATATTGATGAGGACATTTTTTTTTTTTATCTTTTTGATTGATAAATTCTTGGTTTATTTTGCATTTAAGTCCTTACAAATCAAAACCCATCCCAGCCCTATTTTATTGTATTTCTTTACCTGGGGAGTAAAATATTAGATATTTTCACGTACCTTGTAATGCATTGGCAGACCACTAGGGGTACTAGTACCACTGGTTGGGAGTCACTGGTTTAGATGATGACTCCTACACAAATAAACAACCCTCTCGGCCGCCTTGATTGTCTTTCTGCTGCCAAATCAGTGGATCTTATGACCACAGCTGCCAACTTTGGGTTGTTCCTTTCCTTCAATCAATCAGTGTTTGAACAGAGAAACTACACCAATTGTCCTGCAAAAAAAAGGAAAGTTTAAGTGCTAACTAATTTATTTACTGCCAGTTAAAAGCCACACATCCCGCTCAGACAACCTTTGGAGATTTTCTTTTTGTAAAGAAAAAAATTCTGTTCTGTTTAAAAGAATAATTTCTCTATATGACAATGCATTTTAGCTTCAGAGAAAGGTTCAGTTTAGGCAACTGGACATGAAGCTCTTCCAGTTGCCTAAACTGAACCTTTCACGCTATGGATGAAAGGCTCCATTGTGTTAAATACTTCTACAGCTTCTTATCTGCTTTAACAATAACAAAAATTAAGATTAGAATTTCTTTACCGTATGTTTCCTACCTTTAAGAGTCGGAGGTTTTCTGGCTTAAACATATGATGAAATGATCCATTAAGCTATTGAATGATGGGAAGTTTGTATCAACTCTTATCTGTACTGAAAAATACTTTCTCTCACAATACTGTGAATTTTACCAAACAGCAGTAAATGTATTTAAGCTCCTATAACCAAATGTGCTCACTTTTATAAAGTGTTATATTATAGTAATAATGTGTATTTTACTCAGACATTAACACATGTACCTTTAGCAGTATTTAGCATTAAATCCAAACAGGCAGTGGTTTACATAGAAAGATGTATCCTAACCTAAAGGACAGGAAGTTCAGCTTAACCAGAGTGTGTTTGGGTCGCATAAAAAACAACAGATAGCTGACAGCTTATAAAGCAGAGCTCTTTTTCCTGAGACGGATCAGCTCTGCGCACAAATTATGAAAAGTACAGAAGGTTTGCATTCGGACTGATTTTAGTTGTAAGAACTTTCTTTCCAAGCAAAATAAACTCACCAGCTTAGTTGCTTTTTTCAATTAGGTAAACCTGAGACTTGGGACAAATCTATTCAAAATAAAATGTTTGTGTTTTGTGAAATGTCAGTTTGTTGTTTCATATGGAAATTGTATTAATTCCTTTTTTATTTACCGTATCTATATATTCTGTCATTGTTGAGTGAATAAATACCAACCTGTGTGAGTATGATGCATATTTGCATGCACGTGCACTATTACTTGCACACCTTGAGTGATTTGCACACTTGTGTACAGAAGAACAAACAACCTTTCAGTTCGACTGTTTATTTTACCACTATTCATCAAAGGGATTTATGAAAACCTGTGATTGGTTGTGTGTTTTCCTCGTTTTACCTTTACATCAGTGCTGCTGTTTACACCAATAAATTGCTTTCTCTTCCATGTGTCAGGATCTGGTGAAGATGTTGCACTGTTTGTCTTAGGATAAAGGCGCCCCCTCTGTTTCTTAGCTGGCTCTGGCTGAAAGAGGCGTCTGGGAGTGATTTAAAGTGCACTGTGACCTACTCAGGAACCCAGCCCTCAGGGTTGCTAATGTCAGCAGAGAGGATGTGAACCGCTTGGATGGTGGGAACTCGATACGCGTAATTCGCTTCTCATTTCTCCCGTCCAGACCCAAGTTTGACCACAAAAAGGACTGCATTAGTCATTTAATGTCCTCAAAGTATTAGATGCTTCAGAAAACTGAGAGAAGTTAGAAGATAAAACCATTTTTAACTTTGGAAATTAATAAAGCACTTTATTCTTCACGTTTGGATTTTCTAGCCAGTTTGTCTTTTCTGTGTGACTTTATTCAGACATTTTAGCCAGCAAGCCTGACAGCAACTTTAAACCATTTATGATAGCTTCTACTTTATCAGATGTTCTCCTGTTATTTGTTTTCCAGATCAATTTTATCCAAACCATAAACATTTCAAAGTTATTTCACATCATTCATATGAAATCACCCCTGGTTTGTTTCTTGGAATCCCTGGAGGACTTGTTGCTAAAAACACTGGAAGTTATTACATTGAAGGACATGATGTAAGGAGACACAGGGAGAACAATAAATAGACAAATAAAAATAATCAGCCTGCAACATTGGGGCGATGCTGGGTAAAGGTGAAGGCAAATGTTCTGAGTGTGAGAAAAGCCTGAGGAGAGGAAGAGTGATTTATTTCTGGAATTTGGTGGGAACCCTGCTTCTTGCCAACAATGAAGTGAAATAAGCCCCAAAACAAATATAAGGGGATCTCAGAGGGCCACAGACCTTCTCTGTTCAAAGCTCCGAGGGATTTGGTTGTTGATACAATGCATTTTGGTAACAGGATCGAATGACAGCCTTACTACCTGATCAAGACCCAACATTCACCTTGTCACCTGGTCTTTATTTGGAAGCAGATGTTAGGAGGGAAAAAATAACATTTGGAACATTTTATTATCATGACTGGATTATGAACTGAAGAGGCTGAAAGGTCCAGATTATTTAAAGAAAATACCTATTTCTGACATTTTCTTCAGATAAATTACGCCTCACAGCTGCATTGCTTTTTAACATGTTTATAACTATATTTTGATTATTTCCATGGCTAAAACAGATGAAGTATAAAGTGAAAAGTAAACTTTGCTTCCAGACTTCACAATTTCTATAGAATCACACTGCAGGAAGCAAGCTAGGTGCGAACAAAAGCTGTTAATTTGAATACCTTTGCATACCTTGCTCCGATACATCCCCCAGCAGTTGTAAATTGAGGCTCCATGTAAAAATTATTATTTTTCTAATTAAAGATAATTTACAGCACTGCATTCACCTTAAAGAATGCTGGGTTATATAACTCATGAAGTATGAAGTTATGAAATCCTTCACCCATTATTAATTATTTTAGGGTAGTTGGGTTATTTTTATCGAACGTGGGTTGTTTTATTTTTTTTTTGTGCTACCCATGTCTAAATCCTTTTCAAATCCATCAAACCAACATGCAGCGGTTGACCCAGTACCTAGAACTAGAACATTTGCTGCCAGTGGAGCTAACAGCCTGGAGGACAGCATGTTACCAGCTTGAAACTTGACCCGTTGCTCTTCTCAGTTGTTATACACAGCTGCGCATTGTTTTAGTGACACTTATTTAAACACTTCTTTTTTGCATTGTGATCATTAAATATTGATACATTTTAAGGTGGTGCCTTGTAAACATTCCAGTATCATGTTTATTGCATAAAACCTGCTTTGCATGACTAAATTAGCATGTATTTTTTTTTAGAAACATGGTCTATTGCAATTTATTTGCCTAATAATTGTACTGTAATATGTTAGAATTAACTAAGTTATTGGGGAATTTTACAAAGAGTATAAACAAATGTATGTAGCTGGTGAAAAAAATAAGAACTGTGGTTAATTTGACCCAGCATTTAAGTAGACGCAATAAGAAATGTGTGGTATTTATAAAAATTTGCAGTTAATGTGACCCAGAATTTGGGTAGAATATTATAACCCATCTGTTGGGTTATAATGGACTAGCCCATCTTGCTGCCTCAACTCAACAGAGAGGACTGGCTGGAAATTGCTAGTGTTGCGCCGATGCCATTTTTTGGCCCCGATACCGATACCCGATACCTGGCTGTGCAGTATCTGCCGATACCGATACCATAATAATGTAAAATAATTGCCATCATGGCTTTGTCAAGCTGCTGCCTACCTTTGTGAAGCCGGAAAAAATGTAATACAAAGTGAATCCAGTAGAACTTTTTATTGCCTACCAGGAGTGGGTGACAATAGTTGAATAAACTTTTGGCTCTCAAAATGGTATCGGTGCCCTATTGGTTGGTACTCGCCGATACCGATACCACCATTTTAGGGCAGTATCGGGGCCCCGTCCGATACTGGTATCAGTATCGGTACAACACTAGAAATAAACCACTTTGTGTTATTTATGACCCACTTGTTTTTAGTGTCTGAAAATATTTGTGTTACATCTGTATAGTGAATGGACAAACTGTGTTTTTTAATTTCCAAAACAAAATTACAACACAAATTTTACAACTAAGAAAAAAAATTCCTTAATGCTTTGTGCTTCTGCAAGTTAGCTCCTGACTGCAACGTCTCTGAAATCAATATTTTGGAAAATATTTTTTCTACTCTACTGTACTACTTTTGAGCCATTTTACAAAACAATGTAATCCAATGTAGCAGTCTTTCAGATTGCAGTGATCAATCACTCAATAGAAAGACGATGTTCTCAAAGACATGGCTCTGATCGGGTCGCAGGTATAAATGGAGGTATAGAGCAGTCCTAATTACACACGTGTGTAGGTATTAATCAATAAGAAACTGGCAATGCAGGCAGATCCCATCAACTGTTGTGTCTGGAAGCCCTTGAAGGACCAAGGAAGAGAATTAGTGGCCATAACTTGACTTTGATCATGCCATAAATGGGATTTTTATTTAAAAGTGAGCAAAACTCTACACACATGACCCATGTCCAGCCGTCTATCATGTATTCTTTATTGTTTCAAATTAGAGTCATTGACAAAAAATCAGAAAAAATTTGTTTTTCTGAAGTTTGTGCTCAAAATATCATACCTGAATATGAATATGGTTTTCACAAGAATAATACACTATCAAAATAATCTTTCTATCAATCAAATTAACCAGAGTCTCACTGTGATTGATCTGTGTCTGATATATGTCTGTCAAAGACAGGACAGGTGGACCCAATATTCAAGGCGAGTCAGACAGTGGGAAGTTTTAATACATTTAATGACAGAAAAATATTAAAACAAAACAGAGGGCTGCTGAGGATAAGCGGACCACAGCAGCTGCAGGAGGGGGGCGGGGCACCGCCCAATCACTGACACTCTGGACAGAGAAACAGAGGTAAGTGACCACAATCATCAGAAAAGAGATGATTATCTACGTGAGTCACTTACCCAGTTTAACAGTTCAGTCCATAATTTCCGAGGAAAGCAAAATCGAGGCGATGGACTGCCAAATGAGATGCTGCTTAGAGCCGTCTAAAGTGTTCCCGTTGCAGCAACCCCAGAGACCAATCCAGGCCAGAGAAACAGTTCAGAACCGGACAGTTCCAAGATCCAGGAGTCCCTAGTCCGAACAGGGGTTCTGTTCCAAACAGGAACAGACAGATCCAGGATTCCATGAATCCACAGAGCATGAAGGTAGGTTCAGAGTTCCATGAGTCCAGCAGCGTGCTTAGACAGACACCAGGATACGTTTCGAACTTTAAACTGTCCTAGGAGCCAAGCTTACGAGACTAAAACTGACCTCCCCTGGGTTCCTAGCCAAGACCTCCACGGAGAAGGGCCAGAACCCGAGCTCCCCCCACACGCCGAGCCAAAACCCTTAGGGCTCAGTAGAGAAAAGCTGTAACACGTGTAGAAGACAGGAGACAAACAGTAAACCCTCTCAATCCACTGGCCTCCGGAGATGGTAACATGAACCAGGGACTCAACCAAAAATAATGAAACAGACATGAATAACTGACATGAAAACATAACACAAATAAACTAAGAATACAGGAATAAGTAACATAAATACAAACAAATAACTAAGAATAGATGAATAAACAAAGAATAGTAATGTCATAATGAGAGAAGAAGGACTCTGAATCAGGGCAACCACGGAAACAGTTAGTTTAGGTAAGGAAAACTTTATTAAACAAAGAACAGAAAATGGAGTTTGGCAGGATCTTCCTGGTACAGCCTAGGGAAAAGATTGGGTGATGGTGAACAACTGATCTGAGACCTGACCTGCAGTATGACAAGTAATGAATAATGATCTGGCCCTGATAGCTGGGATAAACAGCATAAATAGCAAAGGGAATAATATCGCTGATAATTAGAGAACAGCAGGTGAATGAAGTAAAAATCTGATAAGCTACCGGGGCTGTGATGATCACAAAGTCAACATGTCACTTTAGCAGGACAGCTGCTCATCAAATCTAATCAGAGCAATAATCCAACTGGAATGCAGGATGAAGAACCTTGTTCCTGCCGAACACGAGGATGACATTCAGAGGGATGAAGTTTTACACACATCTCCAATGGGAGGCCAATTAATGTGGCAGGAGCTGCTTAAGGAAAGCTGCATGGATGATTAATGAGCACCAATTGTTAATAACAGCAGACAAACCGAAGTGAAAGCACTCAGTGATAAAGCAGAGGATCCACTAATGAGCTTTCTGCATCTGGGACTATTTATGTCCCATGTTACTATTAGATACACAAATACACACAGTGGTAACTGGAAAAAGAAGCCATGAAGCTATAAAACATCTCAGCCTGCTGAATTATTAAGTTTTTGATTCCACTTTTTAACAGCATTGTTATCGTCCTTCTTTGCTCCAGCACATAAATGACACCCAGAGAACAGAACTTGGAGTCAGCGGAGCAGCAGGTG